AGGGAGACATGATAACCACTTACAAAATTCTCACGGGAATTGACAGGGTGGACAAAGACAAACTCATAAGCACATGTGGAACACGAACAAGACGACACAGGTGGAAACGTAGTACCCAAATGAACCACAGAGACATTAGAAAGAATTTTTTTCAGTGTCAGAGTAGTTAACAAATTGAATACATTAAGCAATGATGTGGTGGAGGCTGACTCCATACACGTTTCAAATGTAGATTTCATAGAGCCCAGTAGGCTCAAGAATCTGTACACCAGTTGATTGAAAGTTGAGAGGAGGGACCAAAGAGCCAAAGCTCAACCCCACCAAGCACAACTAGGTGAGTTAAACTAAGTGAGTACACACACACACACACACACACACACACACACACACACACACACACACACACACACACACACACACACACACACACACACAGTAAATGCAAAGTAATGAAACTAGGTGGTGGAAATAGGAGGCCAAACACAGGATAGAGAATAGGAGATGAAGTACTTAATGAAACGAACAGAGAGAAAGATCTAGGAGTTGATATCACACCAAACCTGTCTCCTGAAGCCCACATAAAAAGAATAACGTCTGCGGCATATGCGAGGCTGGCTAACATCAGAACAGCGTTCAGGAACCTGTGTAAGGAATCATTCAGAATCTTGTACACCACATATGTAAGACCAATCCTGGAGTATGCGGCCCAAGCATGGAGCCCGTACCTTGTCAAGCACAAGACGAAGCTGGAAAAAGTTCAAAGGTATGCCACTAGACTAGTCCCAGAACTAAGAGGCATGAGTTACGAGGAAAGGCTGCGGGAAATGCACCTTACGACACTGGAAGACAGAAGAGTAAGGGGAGACATGATCACAACCTACAAAATCCTCAGAGGAATCGACCGGGTAAACAAGGATAAACTATTCAACACTGGTGGGACGCGAACAAGAGGACACAGGTGGAAACTGAGTACCCACATGAGCCACAGAGGCGTTATAAGGAACTTTTTCAGTGTCAGAGTAGTTAACGGATGGAATGCATTAGGCAGTGATGTGGTGGAGGCTGACTCCATACACAGTTTTAAATGTATATATAATAGAGCCCAGTAGGCTCAGGAATGTGTACACCAGTTGATTGACAGTTGAGAGGCGGGACCAAAGAGCCAAAGCTCAACCCCCGCAAGCACAAATAGGTGAGTACAAATAGGTGAGTACACACACACGCACACACGTGTGTATGTGTTGTTGGGTATGTGTGATAAAAATACATGTATTAGACATAATTGAGGAAAAACAGATTGGTTAGAAAGGTGGGGCACAAGACCTAATAGCTCGATTCTGCAGGTACAAATAATAAATACACACAAGCAATTACCACACTCGCACCATACAACATAACAACGGGCAAATGGGAAGACAGTGAGAGAGAAAGTAGAAAGGAAGGCAAACAGAAGTACCAGAGGAAGAAGGGGGGGGGGGGTTATGGAGGATACTCCTGGGACAAGGAATGCGCTCTGGTCCGTTTGTGTCAAGTCAGAAATTCTGGGAATCGTTGTGAAGTGGTTTTCAATTCAGCAATAATTATGAGGAAGTGAAGATCAAGGGAGGAACAATGAAATCGTCGACAACACGACGAAGAATGAGAAATTGAGACAGACGGGAGAGATAAAGGCGAGAGAGAGAGAGAGAGAGAGAGAGAGAGAGAGAGAGAGAGAGAGAGAGAGAGAGAGAGAGAGAGAGAGAGAGAGAGAGAGAGAGAGAGAGAGACAGACAGACAGACAGACAGACAGACAGACAGACAGACAGACAGACAGACAGAAAGACAGACAGACAGACAGACAGACAGACAGACAGACAGACAGACAGACAGACAGAAAAATAAGAGGGTTGAAAAGGGTGAGAATCAAAAAGAATAAGGAAAGAAATGAAATAAAAATAAAAAATTAGGATAAATTTAAATAATTTTAAATAAAAATTAAAAATAAACAATAAAAAGTAAAGGATAAAAAATAGAAATACAGAAAATAGGAAACAGGAAGATAATAAAATAAATGAACAGAAAGAAGTAGAGAGCGAAGATAAAGAGAGACAAGGGACAAGAACTAATATGACGAAGGAGATAAAGAAAATGAGAGGAAGGGAAGACAGACAAGAAGAATAATGAACAAGAAAAGCCGCTAAAGTACAAACAAAATTTATACCAAAAAACTGAACAAATGCAAAAGTTAAATAAAACAGGACAAATTCACGAAAATAATTAATATGCAAGAAAAGAAAAAACAAAGACACTAAAGAAATGTAAAAATAATTTGGAGAGAGAATAAGGTGAGAGGAAAAAATATATGAAAATGTAATCTTTAAAGGATTAGACGTCATTCTTGTTCGGACAACGTCGTGACGTCGTCAATGTTCCAGGCAACGTCGTGACGTCGTCAACGTTCCAGGCAACGTCGTGGCGTCGTCAACGTTCCAGGCAACGTCGTGACGTCGTCAATTTTCCAGGCAACGTCGTGACGTCATCAATGTTCCAGGCAACGTCGTGACGTCGTCAATGTTCCAGACAACGTCGTGACGTCGCCCAGGTTCCAGGCGACACCTTTACGATATTAATGTTTAACGATAAACTTTAATATTAATAGAGCGTCCAGGCAGACTGATGGAAGAGGCGTCTGCCTCTCTCTTTCTCTCCATCAGAGAGAGAGAGAGAGAGAGAGAGAGAGAGAGAGAGAGAGAGAGAAACAGACAGACAGACAGACAGACAGACAGACAGACAGACAGACAGACAGACAGACAGACAGACAGACAGACAGACAGACAGACAGACAGACAGACTGACAGAGACAGATATTTAAGACGCCATGAGACAATGATAACAAGCTTTGCTCCAAGATTCGGAAGCGATTTTTCCTCTGCTTCTGTCCCCCCAACAGTAACTGGGGGACCTGGTTGTAAACCGGCTTGCGGATCATGTTCCAGGGAAATCTGGTAAGGCTTAAGACGAGCATAAGCAAGGCTCTAAACCTGCCAACAAGAGTCGGAAGTCTTCGACTGTGTCAAGCATGGAAGTTAAATATTGAAGTATGACAAAATCTAGTACTCAGCGATTGAGCGCTGAGTAATGAACTTTGACTCCTCCGTCACCATGAAGTTCCTGAACCTGAAGTTCCAGGTGCTGGACCTGAAGTTCCAGGTGCTGGACTGAAGTTCCAGGTGCTGGACCTGAAGTTCCAGGTGCTGAACCTGAAGTTCCAGGTGCTGGACCTGAAGTTCCAGGTGCTGGACCTGAAGTTCCAGGTGCTGAACCTGAAGTTCCAGGTGCTGGACCTGAAGTTCCAGGTGTTGAACCTGAAGTTCCAGGTGCTGGACCTGAAGTTCCAGGTGCTGAACCTGAAGTTCCAGGTGCTGGACCTGAAGTTCCAGGTGCTGAACCTGAAGTTCCAGGTGCTGGACCTGAAGTTCCAGGTGTTGAACCTGGCAAACAAAGGCAGCCAGTCAGGATTATGCATTGTTCTCCCGACTGAGCTGCATCTCTACACTTGACCCAGTTCTGAACATGGTACATAACCATGCAAGTAGATAACCATGGTAGATAACCATAGTAGATAACAATGCAAGTAGATAGCCTTGGTAGATAACCATGCACGAAGACTCGTCTCTCGTTGTGAATGATCCAACTGTTAACTTTATAGCCAGTGTTTAAACACCTCTCTACCTGGGCCAACTTAGCGGGCAGCCTTAAGCTGGCCAGCCCGTCCTCCCGAGCGTTCCAACCGTCACCAAACTTACGTACAAAATTGCCCGAACCTAACCTAACTGAGGACCGATGAATAGAAAACGGGACATTAAGTCCAATTTCTTTTCGATCCGGTATAATTTTTAATACATCAGTTTTTGGCCTTAGAGTTTTTTTAATACGTCAAAATGCAATGTACTCTTCGAGAAGACAAGTTGAGTTGGCAACCACAACACAAGGCGCTCAGCCATAATCTGCCATTTGTTAGATAAATGGTATTGAAAACGCATAGCTATCAGCTGCCATTCAGTCCCAGTCCTGGCTCACATTGCTCGCTCTCATCACGCAATCACGTGCGAAATCAAGCCGACAAAAATAAACTTTGCCCAAGAAATAAGCCCAAAGTTAGCTCCAGCTTCACTTTGAACCGAATTATGACTAATACAGTATTAAAGAATATTCCTAGAGAAATATATTAATATTGTCATTACATAGATTCGTTATTTAGGTCAGGCTTCAGATTAGCTGTTCCAGGGTAACTGCTATTAACTCAGATTCCGTTAAGAACATACACAAGCTGGTGGAGGGGTCAGAGGGTCATACACAAGCCAGTGCAGGGGTCATTTCTGATCCCCCTCTCCTCCTCCTCCTGCTCCTCCTCCTCCTCCTCCTCTTCCTCCTCCTTCTACTGTATTTCCTCCTTTTCCATCTTGTCCTGTCCTCTCCTTTCCTCTCTCTCCCCAATCACCTCTCTCATCAGACCTGATCCTCCACCCTCAATCATCGGGAACCCCTGTCCTCTCTCTTTTATTTCTCTCCAACATTTATCTTCCTCTTTCAATTCTCTCATTGCCACCCCTTCCCATTTCACCCCTTCGGATTTCTTAATTTTCTAGCTTTCTAGTCCCATTCCCCTCTTTGTCCCTTTCACTCTGGTTTTCAAATGTTCTGTTCCTCTTCCATTTCATTTTTTCTCTCTCTCTCTCTCTCTCTCTCTCTCTCTCTCTCTCTCTCTCTCTCTCTCTCTCTCTCTCTCTCTCTCTCTCTCTCTCTCTCTCTCTCTCTCTCTGCTCATATTCCCTCTTCTCATTTCACTAATTTCTCGCCAACTGCTCTTGTATCTTATATTTACTTAGCCTCTTTCTTTCTTTGTTTTACTCTGTCTCATACGTGTCTCCTAACCCTTTAGGCCCGATCATAACCGCATTTGAACCCGCCACAACTTCCGCTGTTCTCAGCGCCTCATATCCTCCTCCTCCTCCAAACAGTTGCGCCTTGGGAGGTGAGAGGATTTGCTTCTCCAAGCACCGTGGAGGAGGGGGAGATGGTGATCGTGTCCTGCGAGTCCTCCTCCAGCCTGCCGCCCTCCAACATCACCTGGAGCTCCGAGGGCGTCGTCTTGGAGGCCGCGTCCACCTACACCTCCAAAGGGGTGTTTGGAGGAACCACCACCAGGTAAGTCGAGACGTTATCATCTTAGGAGACTTATCTTAGGGTAACTCACTCCTCAGGGACCTTCTCCGTCCCTAAGAAGTGACATTGACGGACCCACAAGGTGGCTATGGAAACTTGCATCGTCTTAGAATGGTATATTTTGGCAATGGATTTTATTTATAATAAAGAAATATACCCATATAATTAAATGGGAATTAACGAGTTCCTCTTTGGGCCAAGGACGATTAGGGGAGGAAGAACTAGCAAAGAGCAACGAGTTTGGATGATAATCTTCTTTACTACGGACAAGACGAGATCAAACTACACTTATTAAGCAAGAAGGAGCCTGGGGGAGTATTTTCACTCCTAATGATGCTTTCAGTGTAGAGGAATCATAGGCAGAACACTCCTGATTCGAAGCTTGATTTTCTGTTATGGGTCGTCTCGAGATGAGTCACAAGGATTTAGAAGCTCTCCTTTAAACATGAGTCACTAATAAGAATTAAAAGGAAAAAGGAAAACATTATTTTTGTGTTTAATGTTGTTGTAGAAGTCAGCTGTTTCCCCCTTGACCGGTAATCTGATCTTTGGGTGACGTTATTCAGTGAAACAAATCTCTACACTTTTCCGACACAGAAGTGAAAAGATTAAGAAGTGTAAAGATTCGTCGTAAGAAATAGGAAGGAAATCACTGCCAAACAGAAATGCAATCTGCTTTTATAATGGCAACTCACGTTTTAAAGTGGCCGGTCACTGCTGTCAGCTCTATACTCAAATTTACACTTGACAATATAAATGAGAGGAGGAGGAGGAGGAGGAGAGTGAGTGTAAGAGTGTCGAATTTAGATGTGATTAACCTCTCATGAATGAGGCCGAGGGGCCTCTTAGTCTAATTGGAAAGTCTTAGTCTTAGAAATTTATAGATAGGTGGGAAAATGTGTTCCTAAATTATTATGGCTTTCATAACATGTCTCATAACGCAACTCATCTAGCGACTCATAACGCAAATTTTCACAACGTGAGGTTTATAACAATAACACTTGTTGTTACTCGATTCATTGCACAACTCATAATACAGCCTCATAACGCAGCCAGTAACGTGACACGAAGCCAAAGATGAATCCTGGAGGTAACCGAATCAAATACCATTACCGTGTAAAGGTATAGTTGAAACCAGGAACTTAATTGCTTAATTCAGAAGTGTTAAACAGGAATATCGACATCACAAAGGTTGAAATTCGGTATTCTTAAAGTACCGAGAATTATTCCGCCATTGTCCGGAACACGAAGCTCCTTTAGGATACTCGAGGTCCGACTGGGCCTACGACTGGCCTTTGTAAACCCACAATAATCAGCCAACTCCCTGATACCTATTAACTGCAAGATTATCATAGACATCAGGCGTAAGAGAGCGTGCCAAAAAATAAAAGTCACCCCCTGCCCCGGAATCAAATCAGAGGACAATCAGTTGTGAGCCTACAACGATGACTACTCAGCTACAGACTAAGAGATTTCCATCGATGGCGACCGGTAAAGAAGTTTTAACGCCTTTCTAGAGCATCCTCAAAAAGTGTCCAGGGGCCTCGGCTACCACAAGCCACACTTGAATGCCACGATGTAATGAAGATATTTTTTTACTCGCTACTTCAAACCTGGCTGGAGGTGCTGTAAGGGGATGCAGGGAAAGCCACATTACCAAGTGCCTGCAGGTGGGTATTTATGAAGTCTTGCCGCCCGACACCACTGCTGCCGACCACGTTCCCAGCTGCTAAACAGATCTGAGTAACGTCTATCCAACGGCGGAGAGACGTTGATCGAACGCTGTATTACAGCCTATCGAACGTTGGATCAACATCATTCTTCCGTTGGATAAACGTCTATCCAACGTTGGATCAATGTCTATCCACCTCTAAATCAACGTCTATCCAATGTTGGATCAATGTCTATCCACCTCTAAATCAACGTCTATCCAACGTTGAATCAATGTCTATCCACCCCTAAATCAACGTCTATCCAACGTTGAATCAACGTCATAAGCCCAGATTTGCCTAGGAAAAGGAAAGGGGGGGAATGACTCTGACAAGAACAATGCTTTCACCATCCTGAAGAACTGAAGAATATGCAGCAAACCAGACTATAGGAGTATAAATCTCCCTAAAATACCAGCGATTAATATAAATAAATGACGTAAAAAAAAAGAGGAGGAGAAAAACACACACACACATTATGAAACTCTAAAGTGGTGAATTTTTATTTCTGAAGGATCAGCAAGGAGGAGCAGCGTGACTGAGGACCAACCAGCCAGCCTCACGAACCGACAAGGATGAACCAATTTTTGAGGAGGCGCGCTTCGCCCTCGCTGGAAGACCTCCCAAGGGAATTCTTTTTTTTCTATCTCCAGGTTATATGAGAGAAGGAAGGAGGTAGGAAGGCGGGGAGAGCGGTGGACATGAAGAAGGAGGAGATTTGAGAGAGAGGGAAGGAAGTAAGGATGACTCTAGAGAGAGAGAGAGATGGAGAGAAAGAGTTTCCAAGAGTATACTTCCAGGAGCAGGAGGGCTTTCCGAGTGGATATTCCTTGCTTGATGGATCAGGTTCATGGCTGATGGAGGTGTTGATAGGCCGGATTACCTACCCTTGATGGATGGATAGAGCGCCTCCTCGTTCACATGCACACACGCATCCTCGCTCGATCCCTCAGCTGCGGGCCAAGGGATTACCTTCCTCATCTTAGCAGCCTCATATTCCTTCCCCCATCTTGCTCATTCACGAGCGTTCTTTTCGTTCTTTTTTCATACAGGTAACGGAGATTCTTTCTCACTATCTCTCTCTCTCTCTCTCTCTCTCTCTCTCTCTCTCTCTCTCTCTCTCTCTCTCTCTCTCTCTCTCTCTCTCTCTCTCTCTCTCAGACTGTCTGCTTTTCTTCCCCAGGTCCGAGCTGAGGATAGAGACTAGAGCCGGCGACAACGGCAGAGTACTGATGTGCACGGCCGGGAACGGACTGGACAAGCCCGTACACAGGGAGATCGTACTAGACGTTCTTCGTGAGTATCAAGCCTCTATTCTCCTCATTCTCTATATTCCTCATTCTCTATCTCCATCATCATTTTTCTTCTTCATTCTCTATCTTCCTCATTCTCAATCTTCCTCATTCTTTGGATATTCAAACTTTTGTAACAATCATCAATGCTCCAATGATTTTGTTTCATTGCTTCTTTTATTTTCTTTGTCGATGGCTTCTAATTCATGGCTTTACTCAGTAGTATTGGCATCACACAGATATGTAATTATACGTTTTGATGTGCCCAAGACTTCAGTTGAGTTATTTAAATACGATATGTTTAATGTGATGATATTGTGGAAGTGATATTCAGATATATATTATATATATATATATATATATATATATATATATATATATATATATATATATATATATATATACACCCCAGATAGCCATTCAGGCTTGTTATATATATATATATATATATATATATATATATATATATATATATATATATATATATCGAACGCTGCGAGTGCAGAGTTTGGACTTTATAAATGATGTGTGCGAGTCTGTGAGTGTAAATGAGTGTGAATAAACCAGTGAGTAAGCCTCTGAATCTATGAGTGAGAGATTTGTTTTGATTGGTTTACACCCATTAAATTTTGGCGCTCATTTGACATATGGCAAACCCAGTTTTCCGACGGCATAAAAGCCCAGTTTACCAATTTATCGAAATTCTACATTATATATATTTTTTTAGAAAGCTGTGCATCTGATCTGCTCACTTGACTTCTCATTTATGCTCGAATTATTTCCCTCCGGCCACAAAACTGCATCTCTTCCTTTCCATTATCACTAGTTCAATGGGTCCTGCATCCAGGGAGGAATTTGCATCTTGTTTATCCCGTTCTGAGGTGGAGTCACGGCAGCGTGTCTTTATAGTTACCGTGAATTTGACTAAGAAAAAGATTTCTTGTTTTTTTTTTTCTCCATTTCCTTCTGTGTCCTCTCTCTTTTCTCTCCTTCTATTCGTTCTCCTCTCCCTTCTTTTATTACCATTCGTTCCTTCACTTCCATTTTCTCCCTATTTTTTTTTCCTACCCTTTTCCTGTTTTCCTTTATTCTCCTTTCCTCCATACAATGTCCTTTTTTTTCCTTCCTACCTCATTTCCCACATTTCAGTCCTCACAGTCCTTCCTTAACGTCCACCCTTTCACATTTCCTTCATTCCCTGACCTCTGCAAACGACTCTATCTCTCAATCTCTCTCTCTCTCTCTCTCTCTCTCTCTCTCTCTCTCTCTCTCTCTCTCTCTCTCTCTCTCTCTCTCTCTCTCTCTCTCCTTCTTCCCTTAAACAATAGCCACTTCCCTCCCCATCAATGTTTCTTTCTTCTCTCCCTTCTTTCCTCCTCTCTCGCATCATCCTTCCCCTTCCACATTTAAATCCACCTCACGCTCATCATTCTCCCCCCTCCTCCTATGAGAATCTCCACTATCGCTCCCTCCTTACCCCTCATTTTCCTCAGACCCTCCCCCTCCTCCTTCCCGTCAATCCCATCTCCTCTCTTCCTCCCTCTCCCTCTCCCATTAGACCATCACCTCTCCCAATTCCTACCTCCCATCCCGTCCTATGACCCACCCCTCTTCCACCCATCCCTCTCACTCCCCCTCCCTTATCTCCCACCCTGCCCTCTCCTTCATTACTATTCAGCGTTGACCTAACTTCATTCTGCGTACCTTCACCCAATTTGTGAGCAACTTCTAAATTTCTTTTCAGACATTTTGATAACTTCTCTTCCCTCACTCGCTCCATATTTTATTCCATAATTCTTTACGTTAATTTTGTGTACAAGAGTTTGCAACTTTATGTTATTCTACTCCACCGTATTACAGTGAATCAGAAGGATAGACTGAACGAGTTACAACTGTTAGCTTGTTGTTTTAAGGTAATTGTTTAACAACGACACGCAAAAACAACAGCAGGAGCAAAACAACAAAACAGCAGCAACGGCAGCAACATCAAGACATATTTAACAAAATAAGAGCATATAAACAAATGTATATATGTTCATGAAAATATATATATATATATATATATATATATATATATATATATATATATATATATATATATATATATATATATATATATTATATATTATATATAATATATATATATTATATATTATGTATGATCGTCTGTGATATACAAGTTCCGTATATATCGCCTCCCTTCAGCACCACGAAACCCTGTTTTCTGTTACCTAGTAACCCAAGTCTTGGAAACATGATCACGTCTCCTCTACCACTCAATCGTGTCAATATTTGCACGTGTGGGAACCTCTCAATAACTCTCAAGTGTCCCGTCTTACCACGGCTGAATGATCACACTAGCTTGGTTCTTACTGCAGCTGTAAGATCACAATGTCTCGCTTCTTACTGTAGCTGTATGATCACTCTGTAACGCTTCTTACTGCAGCTGTATGATCACTCTGTAACGCTTCTTACTGCAGCTGTATGATCACTATGTCTCGCTTCTTACTGCAGCTGTAAGATCACTATGTCTCGCTTCTTACTGCAGCTGAATGATCACTATGTCTCGCTTCTTACTGCAGCGGTAAGATCACTATGTCTCGCTTCTTACTGCAGCTGAATGATCACTATGTCTCGCTTCTTACTGCAGCGGTATGATCACTATGTCTCGCTTCTTACTGCAGCTGTATGATCACTATGTCTCGCTTCTTACTACAGCTGAATGATTACTATGTCTCGCTTCTTACTGCAGCTGTATGATCACAATGTCTCGCTTCTTACTGCAGCTGTAAGATCACTATGTCTCGCTTCTTACTGCAGCTGTATGATCACTATGTCTCGCTTCTTACTACAGCTGAATGATTACTATGTCTCGCTTCTTACTGCAGCTGTAAGATCACTATGTCTCGCTTCTTACTGCAGCTGTATGATCACTATGTCTCGCTTCTTACTGCAGCTGTATGATCACAATGTCTCGCTTCTTACTGCAGCTGTATGATCACAATGTCTCGCTTCTTACTGCAGCTGTATGATCACAATGGCTGTGCCTTTTTCCAACTCTCTCGTGAACCCCGTTGAAAAATGGACGAGCCGAAGTGAGGGAGCTTTTTCTTAGAGAAGTGAATTGGCTTGCAGGGTTTCTCTCTCTATTTATCTCTGTTCCAACTCCCGTTCCATCCACTTTAGTGGTTTGCATTGACTTTTTGCTCTCTCTCTCTCTCTCTCTCTCTCTCTCTCTCTCTCTCTCTCTCTCTCTCTCTCTCTCTCTCTCTCTCTCTCGGGATTCAAAAGGAACTCTTATCAACGAAAGAAAATCGTTACCTGAATAATGATTAATAGTTCGGGTTGACAAACGTGATTCTCGGCTCGTTTAATCAAAGCAGAGGCTCGGCTCGCTTAATCAAAGCAACAAACGTATCACAGAGGAGTCAAATCAAATTAGTTTTAGAATAGTTGTGTTCCAAGTCAACTTATGTTTACCTGTGACCTTTGACGAGTTACGTGTGAACTTTGACCTGTGACGCGTTACTGGCAAGCTAACACTTGTGACCTGCTACCTGTCATGCACTGCCAAGTGACCTGGCCCACGAGGCCCAGATACTTGTGACCTTTGACCTGGTTTATAACAAAATATGATAAATTTCAGAGGCGATCAGTGGTGGAGATGAGTTTTATGATGCTCCTTCCTTTGATGTGGCGCTTCCAATATGGGTCGTCCAGCCACAGTTTTTAATATTCAGATATTAGCAATCGAATATATAAAATCAATTTTCGTTTAATCGAATTTATTTTGTTTCGTTGTTAACAATGTCTCTTTCATCCCCAAATTAGCTAAAATTCATGAACACTATAAAACACGTGTAGATTTTGTCCAGGAAATGATACTGGTCATTGCTCATCCGGGCATCACTATATTTGTGTATGGGAAAAGCCAGCATCTCAAGGAAGTTGTTAGTCCCCCCTTATAAAAGGAGAAACACATAAGTCAAGATGTATCACGGTACAGTCGCAGGACATTATTTAAGAAAAGGAAATTAGTTCATTTCCCTTAACTCCCTATTACTTAGATTTAATTGATTCATCCGAACTTAGATATAATTAGCCAACCCAATTCCGTTTTGTGGTTTTCTCCTTTTATTGGTTCTTTTTTGTACTGGTGATCTTCACATTACATCAAATGATGCTCAGTCGTATGCAAATATCTCTCAACTTTGCACTCTTTCTCACACGTCAGTTACAGTCCTACTTATTGCAGGACTTACTGCATCTTGCTCTTTGTTGTCTAGATGGGTTATACATTATCCTAATTCTATATCCCTTCGAGGGCAAAGTAATTTAGCAAAGTCGAATAAGAATGAAACTCCATTTTTCCTGCCATTTTATTATGGACTTGGTCCCCAGGAAGAGTAAGTTGCTCACTCGCAGTGCATTGAGGCGGAAATATTTATAAACCGAGCAGCTGAAGAGTCTTGAGAATCTTGTGCCTCTTCTGCAGGAGGAGTAAGACAGAAAAGTGTTTCTCCTCTTGATGCATATTGTGAAGCAGAGTGAGAGGGAAGGGGGAAGTTCTCATAGTGCAAGAGGGAGGAGTTGAAGCAGCGGGGAAGGAAGGAAATCAGGGATAAAAGAGGAAAGCAGAGATAAGAGATAGAAGAGATAAGAGCCTTCTTGTAAATAAATAATGATTTATTTACACGAAGGTACAATGTGATGAGGACATTACATTATAGGGATATTTTTACATTCTAGCAAAGCCATTAACACGCATAGCGTTTCGGACAAAAATCGGGCAGAAAAAAATGATAAGATAAAAAAAAAAAGGGATAAAGAAGAAAAACAGCGGATTAGGGATAAACACAGTGGATAACAGGGGGAAGGGAGGGAATGATTACCTTCTGAAAATTAGTTTAAAATATTTTTCAAACAACACTTCCTACTAAGCCGGAATTGATCTCATGACCTTAGGCGTAATAAGTTAATACGATAACGACTCTTTTTAACTGT